AAAAAAAAAAGTACTTTTCTTACATTTCTGAATAAACAAAAGTATTATTCACTACTTACTCATATATCACTATCACATATTTCTAACTATGCACTATTTATCAAACAATATATCATGACATCTAAAAGATTATTATATTTTTATACTATGAAAATATATCATATTGTAATGAAAAATCTAATAGTAAAATATTCTGATGCAAACTACAATGAATAATTGAATGTTATAACTTTTGTTAGAAAATTCAACGGAAATCAATGTCGTTGGTATTAAGTTTCTCTTTGACAAATTCCTATCGAAACTTGATGATTCTAACAATAATTTCTCAAAAAAGTTTATTGTATGAAGAAAAACTCGTTGTATATATAATTTTTGTTGGAATTATCCTTTTTGCCGATAATACCAAAAATATCCGTGGATCCGTCAGAAACCAATCGAATTTCAATAAAAATTCTAATATCCTTGGACTCGAAAAAATATTTTCTTTAAAGATTTCATTTAAGTTTTCTAATAGAAGTTATAAAATTGGAAAATATATATATTGTCATTACTGAATATTTTTTTGGAATATATTACCGTCAGAATTATACCTTGAATTTGATCTTGAAGCGTCGAAATCCGAAAGGTGTTTTAGATTTACTCCAATTTTTTGTGCCTTGCCTAACTAAGTGACTACTCATGGAAAATGACATTTCTTCCGTTCTTAAAATGTTGTATTTTTTTTACTGTTCACACTACCTATTGATTTTATTGATGCATGCATATTAAAAATAGGGAGATGCTATGGTCCCGTTACGAGATTCATAACTGTTAGATCAATTATTCCCGACAATTACAAACCCCGATAAAATGGTTCTCTAACGGAACCGTATCATTTCCTATTACAATAAATACTATAAATTATAGGGTACGGAGGTTAAAAAAAAATATGATTTCTTCGAATTATGTAATCTTCATAATTTGAACAAATAATGTAATCTCACTTTTAATTAATTATGATAAACTATATATATTTTGTGTTTGGTTTAATTCCAAAATATAGCCAGTATTTTGTACGTATCTTTACGAATTAGCAATATCAGCCAACCAACTTTCAAAATTTCAGGGTTATTATCCATGTCCGACCAAATTCGATGGCTATTGATGTCACTGCGTAAAAAAAATATTGATTATATTTTACAATTTATTATCTGTCGAATTTGGTTTGATTTGGGTAATAATCTCGAAATTTTGAAAGTTATTGCCTAGTATTGTCAATTCATAAAGATGGTGGTTATTATTAACACAGCGTACAGGATATTGACAATATTTTACAATTTAATCTTTGTGTGCGTAGAAGACGTGGCCGGAATTGTACCATTGAACTTGTGAATAGTTATAGTAAAATGGTTGCATGCGAAAAACATTTTGTGAGCCAACCAAAAGTTATCATTTTGGTGGCCCGCCGTTGAGTTACGTAGCTGTGTAGGGTTGTACTCTTCATGTGGCCATGTTTTTTCTTCATTAATTTATATTTGGGACATTAAAATCTTCTCCGCTAGATTTTGTATCTAATGATTGATAGGCCCATACCCAAAGTTAATTAAATCAAGAACGCTTAGATGGGATGGCTTGAGTCTCTTTCAGCGTAACTAATAGTCTCGTGTTCGAGCCCTGGGAATGCAGCAGTGTTAAAACTCTTGAGGGAGAGCTTTCCCGCCCTTGTGGTCTTACCCAGCTCGATTCCAAATTAATCGGTTTTCCTGTGGATCCAAAAACCGAAAGGTCCTGTACCAAAAAAAAAAAAAAATGTTAATTAATTTTGAGCTTGCAAGAACTTTTTTTATTATAAAATATTCAATAATTTCATTTAAATAAATAAATTTAAATAATTAAGAAAGAAAATTAAAGTAACTTGTGACACAGACGACGTAGGTTAATATACGGAATAATTTTATGAAATATCGTGACCGTCCATATATATTATCCAAATTCAATCTGTAGCATAAATCACAAAATCAATATATTGTTCTAGAACTTGAAGAAAATCTAAGAACAGATGCATAAATCACAAGCCACTCACATTTTCATATATAAACATACATATATCGAATACTAAAATTTCAATTTAAGTCCAAACAATCAAAATTTTAGAAATATTGTAATTTAGTAGTTTGTTATACATTCAGAATGAAATATATTTAAATATTGTTTCCAATATTTTAGATACACGATGCATATATTAAATAAGGCATAAATTAGAAAAAGAAATACATGATTAAATAAGGCATAAATTAGAAAAAGAAATACATGTGAATTCATAAGGTTAGATTATAGATTTAACACTTGGCTTGTTAGGAGAAGAATTTATTTATGAAATATTATCATTTGTATAAATTAATAAGGTTAGATTATATATTTAACTTCTGATCCTTATCAGATTTGTATTATGACAATTATAGCTTTTTAGGATGAGGATTTATTTGTGAAATATTATCCCTATCAGGATTTGTATTATGACAATTATAGCTTTTAATTTCTAATCGAACACTCATTAACATATTTTCATTTTCAAACATGAAAATGAGACTGAAGCCGCAAGGAATAAGAAAAATCGATAAGTTCCTCCTTCAAAAATCATAGCTCTGTTGATGAGTTGATAACGTAACCGAAAAAGTATAAGTAGAACAATATAGTCAAGACTTTTTCGCAGAGATTGTGTCGCGAAGTACTAGCAAGTACTTGATCAGAGGATAATCAAGTTTTAAAATGATGTGAATGTTTTCGTAAGATATATAATAGTAGGTATAATAATGGACAGGTCACATATCCAAACATGATGGAATTTTTCGAGAGCCTTGGAGTTGATATGGAACTCTCTGACATGTCCTTTGCCGTGAGCTTGGACAAAGGACAAGGGTGCGAATGGGGTAGCCGAAACGGGCTATCAAGCTTGTTCGCACAAAAGAAGAATGTTCTAAATCCATTTTTTTGGAAAATGATTCAAGAGATCGTCAAATTTAAGGATGACGTAGTAAAGTAAGATATTTTTGGATGGAAAGGAAAAAATAAAATAAAGTTTGAAATTATAAGTGAATGCTAATGTTAATTAGTTTCTGATTTGCAGTTACCTTGAAGAGCTTGACGGTAATCCAGACATTGACCGGAATGAAACATTAGGCCATTTCATTAAGTCGCGCGGCTATTCTGAATTATTTCAGAGGGCCTATCTTGTGAGTTGCGAAATATGTCTACTCTTTCTTTCTTTCTTCCCTTTTTTTCCCTATTCCCTCCATATATATTCAAATTTCCTTTTTAATGTATCGTTTAGATACCGATATGTGGTTCAATTTGGTCATGCTCTTCGGAGGGAGTAATGAGCTTCTCTGCATATTCCATACTTTCATTTTGCCGAAATCACCATCTTCTACAGGTATCTATTACTATTAATTTTTCAAACTGATCATTTTTTTTTTTTTTAAAGTTAGTGTATGGTTAAATAACACTAACGATATGTTTCATGCAGCTCTTTGGTCGTCCTCAATGGCTAACGGTGAGGTGGCGTTCGCAAACTTATGTCAAGAGGGTATAACTTTTTTTCTTTTTATTTCGTTATTTTATCTCTTCAAAGTTGAAACTACATTTGGTAACTACTATTGAGTGCATATTTAGTTAGTTACCTGTAAAACAAAAAAAATGCAGGTTCGACAAGAGCTGGAAAGTCGAGGCTGTCAAATAAGAACCAATTCTGAAGTATGTTCTGTTTCGTCAACTGATGAGGGTGAGCCCTCGACTATCATTGTTAATATATTTATGTTCTTGAACATGTTTGCAATTAACCACTCCTCAAAAGCTACTTATTCTCTGTAATTTAGTCAAGTGTCGATAAAAGGGATTTACTAGATGAAGGGATTATCTTAGGTTGTACTGTAAGTTGCAAGGATGGGTCAGAAGAAAAATACGATGAGTGCATTATTGCTGCTCATGCCCCGGATGCTTTAAAGATGTTAGGAAAGCAGGCAACATTTGACGAATTACGTATACTCGGAGCATTTCAATACGCCTATAGGTACTCTTCTAAAAAAAATACTAAAAATGCTCTGATATTACCTTTTTGGCCTTGCTTTATTTTTATCCGAGTTTTCGAACAATTGCACAAAATATGATGAACTGTCTCGTGACAGTGATATTTACCTCCACCGTGACAAAAATTTCATGCCGAAAAACACGGCTGCATGGAGCGCATGGAATTTTCTCGGGACTATAAATAGCAAAGTTTGCGTCACGTATTGGCTCAACATTCTCCAGGTTCGGTATAGTATAATCTCATGTCAGCTCATATCTGTTTGTTGCACTCATTTTCTTTCGAATCGCCAAAAAATCTCTTATATCTATCGTTTTAGATGTATAATATTAATCTATAAAATTAAGCTTTTGTTTGGAATGTGCAGAACATAAGCGAAAAAGGGCTTCCTTTTCTAGTGACACTTAATCCGCCTTCAACACCCGAACATACATTGCTCAAGTGGTCGACCGGCCACCCGATTCCATCAGTGGCTGCAACTAAAGCTGCACAAGAACTAAATCTCATCCAAGGAAGGAGGAGAATATGGTTCTGTGGAGCTTATCAAGGCTATGGCTTTCATGAAGATGGCCTAAAGGTACTATTTTTATGAGTGCTGTTAATTTAAAAAAAAAAACGCTTCCCCTGTTTCTATTAATGTTTCATCTTATAGGCAGGCATGCTCGTTGCTAATAGCGTGCTTCGAAAAAGCTGTACGCTACAGAACAACCCAAAACACATGGTACCTTCGTGGCTCGAGGCAGGAGCACGTACACTTGTCACTAGGTTTCTCGAGCGTTTTATAGCAACCGGCTCCATAACGTGAGTTTCTTTCTCATACACTATTATTATTCTCATTATTTCTTTACTCAAATTAATAAATAAAGAAAAAAAACTGTGGCATTATTAGCTTCATCATCAAAGACTCGTCTTCATGTGCTTCCGTTTCTTCACTTTCCGAAGCCGTTTTATTCGTTTTCCATTCGTTTCATCCATTTTTCCATAATTTGTATTTCATAAGTAATGATAATATAACTAGCATTGCCGCAGTTTGCTGGAAACCGGAGGTACAATGTACGTATTCGAAGGAACGAGAAGAGCGAGCCCTTTGAAAGTCTACTTGAGAATTCATTCCCCACAGTTTTATTGGAAGGTGACACTCATGTGCCCTTATTGGACTATTGCTTGATTTAATACAGTAAAAAAGTATCAGAATACAACATTACTTCTTTTTTCTTCATATTTCATATATATATAATTGTGATAGGTAGCAACTGAAGCAGATTTAGGTCTGGCTGATGCTTACATTAATGGGGATTTCTCATTTGTTGACCAGAATGAAGGTCTTCTCAACCTCTTCATGGTGAGCACATCGAATGCTTTCGACAAGGGTTCTTTTTTATTTTATTTTTATTTTTTTTCATGAGAATGCATTTGGAATTTTATTTATTTACATTTCTGCAGATATTTATTAACAACAGAGATTTGAGCATTTCTACTTCAAACTTAAACAACAAAAGGGGATGGTGGACACCGTTGCTTTTCACTTCTGCATTAGCATCCGCAAAGTACTTCTTTCAACACGTGTCGAGAAAAAACACGCTAACTCAGGCACGGCGTAACATTTCAAGGCATTATGATCTAGTGAGTTCTTCAAATCTTTATTAAGAATGATAAAGAGTATGTCGTTTCAAATATCGTTTTACGTTTATATGCTTCTTACGAAGAAAGTTATTGATGTACTTGTAAAGGAGAAAAGCATTATCATCTGTCAATTATAAGCTGATAGAAAAAATTTTGTCATCTGTTAATCCTCCTCAGAGCAATGAACTGTTTTCGCTGTTTTTGGATGATACAATGACATACTCTTGCGCGATATTTAAGGTAACTCGTACAAATGTTCCTCACCTGTTAATAGTTATTTTTCAAAAAATTATCAAATGTACCAAGTAACTAATTCAGACAACCGCTTCTTAATTCTGTTCTAAGGCTGAAGATGAAGACTTGAAGGTTGCTCAACTCAGGAAAATCTCTCTTCTCATTGACAAGGTGAAATATCTATGTCTGAGCTCGACTTTTCCTAAAAAAAATAGCCTCTTTCGAAAGCTAATTCTCTTGAAACTATAGGCAAGAGTGAGTAAGAAACATCACGTTTTGGAGATCGGATGCGGTTGGGGTACTTTAGCCATTGAAGTTGTTAAGCGAACCGGATGCAAATACACTGGCATCACTTTATCAGAACAGCAGCTCAAATATGCTGAAACTAAAGTAAAGGAAGCTGGTCTACAGGTACATGTATCTATATATCATCTGTTTGAATTATAGATTACTGTTGTTATGAGTATGAATTAATGTTGTAATGAGATTTAACATTTGATTTTCGTCGTAGGACCGTATAAAGTTCCATCTTTGTGACTATCGCCAGCTGCCCAAAACCGAGCAATATGACCGGATAATATCTTGGTGAGCGTTTTTTTTTTTAATATTAAATTTTTAGATGTTAATTTATTTTTTCTCGACTTTTGTCAAGTGCAGTGAGATGTTAGAAGCTGTAGGCCATGAATATATGGAAGACTTCTTCAGGTGCTGCGAGTCTGTATTAGCAGAAGATGGCCTCCTTGTTCTTCAGGTCAGCCTGAAATGAGTTTTTGCCAATTTAATATAGCCATTTAAATTTTCATGGATTTGCATATTTTATTTATTTATTTATTTTGGTGCAGTTTATATCGATACCGGACGAGAGATATGAGGAGTATCGGCGCAGTTCGGACTTCATTAAAGAATACATATTCCCAGGTGGATGTTTACCTTCACTTAGCCGAGTAACATCAGCCATGGCTGCAGCATCAAGACTTTGGTAAATATATAAACTGGATTTTTGTTTTTTTATCTAATTTTGTTAGAATTTATATCGACAATTAATAAAATAGTTTGAAAATTAACTACAATACATATATGCAGTGTGGAGCACCTTGAAGACATAGGAATACACTATTACCAAACACTCCGATGTTGGCGCGAGAACTTCCTCGTAAAGCAAAGGTAAGAACAAAAAAAAAAAAGGGATCGATCACATTTTAAAACGGACTTTCGTGCAGGAGCTCGTGTTTATTATTATTATTTAAACTAAAATTGAAATGTTTGTACTTCAGAGAAATCGAGGAGCTTGGGTTCGATGAGAAGTTCGTGAGGACATGGGAGTACTATTTCGACTATTGTGCCGCTGGATTCAAAACTTGTACCCTCGGAAACTATCAGGCATGCCTCATGAACTTCTCACAAAAAAAAAAAAAACTCCAT